ATTTTAAGATGTACCGAAGCAATCTTGGACGTTCGGGAGAGCAGATTCAATCGTTCGAGGCGATCTAGGGTTATCCAGGCCGTCTTGATAGAAGGTCGGCCGTCTTGGAGCCCGTCTATGGCAGTCTTGGGGCCGGGCCCTCTTGAGGGCCTATTGGGCGACCTTGGAGGCCGTCCGCCTGAGGTTGTCGGAAATCCGAGGTAGCGAGGATGACATTCTCATTGAGGAACAAATTGGGAAGCAATGGAAATTGGCCTCCGGATGGCCTCCTGGGGGCTCTTTTGGGGCATGTTGGATCGCACCACGGGCGTATGACGCGAAGCCGTGTTCAGGCCATCCTTGGCCGTTTTGGGCTCATCTATGCCCGCGTTGGAGGCACATGCTGGCCATCTTGAGTTCTCTTTGGGGACACGTTGGGTGTGTTGAAGGCGTGTTGGGACCGTTTCGGAGGCAATATTTGGTAATTCTGGCCGTCGTGGAGGCCATCTTGGGAGCAGAGTTCACCACGAGCCAATCGTGTCAGGATGTCCCAGGTGAAACGCTAGTTTTGAACGGTGGGCCAGAGTTTGGCCAAATCATTGGATGTTGTATTTCGCCAGCCGGCGTGGAAACCCTTCGGGGGGACACTTTGGGGAGGAATCGGAAGAATGAGAGGGGGAGGAACATGGACAAAGATGATGAAGAGGAGGAGAGGAGGAGGAGGAGGAGGAGGAGGAGGAGGAGGAGGAGGAGGAGGACATAAGAGATCTGTTGGTAATTTTTGGGGCACTGCTGGGGCCTCCTGGGCGTTTCCTGGATGCCCTTTGGAAGTCTCTTGGAGGCCTCCTTGGGCCTCTCTTGGGCGGCCCTTGTGCAAATTCCACTCGTCTTGGGAGTTCCTGGCCTGCCTGACACCGTCCAAAACCGTCTTGGGGCCTGCCTGGGCCGACTTGGAGCCTTCTCGGCACGTTTCAGGGAAGTCTTACTGGCCATCTTGAGCGTTTCGCAGGTTTCCTGCGCCATCTTTGGGGCCTCTTGGGGCCGTCTTGGCGGCCTCTTGAGCTGTCAGAGGGGCAATCTTGAAGGCCTCTTGGAGGCTTTTGGGGCCATCGTGCGAGCCTTTTGGGCAGCTGGAAAGCCAAACATGAGCAAACGCAGGAAATTGTCAAACACCTACGAGAAATACATGGTTTGGCTTCTGCGGCGTTCCTTGAGGTCCTGTTGGAGGTTTCTTGTGCCGTCTTGGCAGCCTCTTTGGCCTTGGAGGCCTCCTGGGCTGTCTTGGGCCATCTTGGGCCATCTTGGCACCATCGTGGGGCCATCTTGGTGTCGGCGTCGCTTGGGGCAATATTATTCGTCGTGGGCGAAATTGGGTGACATCTTGGGTAATCGCGGCCGTTTTGTAGGCGGCGCTATGCAGTTTCCTGGTCGTCTTGGGCACGGTGGCCAGCTGGCCGAAGGCCACTGTGAGAATTTGAAAGACACCACAACAGCCACCAGACATCTAGCACGCCGTGCACCCCTCTGGCAAACACTGGGGGCGGCGGATCCAATGGCCTTTGGCCCATCCCGCCGCTGTGCCTGGATTGTGGGTCAGAGTCCGCAGGGATGCTTCTTGGGGTCTCTTCAGAGCGCTTTCGGATGGCTTTTGGAAGCCTCTTGGGGGCTTCTCGGGAGCCTTTTGGGGGCCTGTTAGGGCTTCCTGGAAGCTTCTTGTGGGCCTCTACGGACCTGTGGGGAGCCTTTGGGGGCCTCCTGAGGGCCTCATGGGGCAGGGCTCGAAATGCCAGTTTGGGGTCCCCCGTCTGGGTTCCCTCTTGGAGCCGTCTTGGCTGCCTCTTGGGCCGTCTTGGAGGCCTCTTGGGCCGTCTTGGAGGCCTCTTGGGCCGTCTTCAGCCCTCTGAGGCGGTCTCTTGGGCCGTCTTGGAGCGATCTTTGGGGCTTCTTAAGCAGCCTTGGAGCGTCGAGAAGCCGAACGAGCGATAACGCCAAGACCATTCACACACCACAGGCAAATCAATGACGTGTGTTTTCTGGGGCCGTCTTCGAAGGCCCCTCGGAGGTTTCTTGCGGCGACTCGAAGGCTTCCTGGGCCGGCTTGGAACCATGTTGGGCATCCTGGAGCGACCATTCGGTGACTCGGAGTCCCCATCGGAGCGTCCTGGGGGTCTCCTGAAGCTATGTTGGTTTGTTTGGCTTGTTTGGGCGTTTTCTCGGGCGGGAACGACCCAGACCTTCCTCGAGGGAGGAGGAGGGGGCAGGAGGAGGAGGAGGAGGAGGAGGAGGAGGAGGAGGAGGAGGGAGCGCGCCCCCAGCCCCACGGGCCACGCGACAAGCCCCAGGCGACTTGTGAGTCTTGGGCCCGGGCCCCTTAAAATGATATGTGGGGTCAGGAACTGAGGCTTCAAGGACTAGGCCAAGGTCCTGTGGAAACTCCAACTCGCATGCACCATGCACGCGTCTATAGCATATGCATGTATAAAAATGCACCTGCTCCCATGACGATCGTACTCGAGTGCCCCATCCCACGTATGCTTCAAGACCACAGCCCATGGCTCCATCAGGTGTCCTTGCCCTCCGCACCCCGTCGATTCATTCCTCTCGTCCATTCGCACACCCTTGCCCCGCCAACAGCATCACCACCATCAGCCTCACCATCATCATCAACATCATCATCACCATCATCATCATCAGCATCATCATGATGGTCATCAGTGTCAGCAGCAGCAGTTTCATCATCATCATCATCATCATCATCAGCATCATCATCATCATCATCTTCATCTTCATCTTCATCTTCATCATCACCACCAGCAGCAGCAGCATCATCATCCTATCGTGAATATGATCCGTAACTGGTTTTTGCTCACCGGGCTTTGGCTCGGGGGTTGCGGCGGCTGGCCCCTTTCGCGCTGGGACTGGCGCTCTGCATAGGGTGGAGCTCGCCACAGGAGGCTGCCCACGCTGGCTGCCATCGACGGGGACCCGCGCTGATCGCACGGCGGTGCGGGCGCGAGCGAAGCAGGCCGCTGATGCCGCGGTGGCACGAGGATTGGCGACGTTGGGCACGCATACGAGGCGAAGCAGAGGAGCCAGCGCCGAGGTGGGCAAGGCCCCCCTGCCCAGCGTCTCCTGCTAGGGCCCGTGGGAGATGGCGGAGCAGCCTGAAGGTCCTATCTCGAGCCGCCCGACACCTCCGAGGCCGCCGAGAGCGATTCGGTAGCCGCCTGCAGTCTGGGAGGAGACCGAGGCGGCAGCTGATCGGCGGCGGCATGTGCACGGACGACGACACCACGGCAGCGGCGCTCGCGGCCGCAGCGGCGTGGAACGCGACGGCCCGCGCGGGGCCCTTGCGGGAGGACGACCTGCTGGCGGGCGTGTTAGCCGAGGCCCAAGCCGGGGTCCGCAGACCCACCGCCGCCTACCAGATAACACGCTGGGAGCTCCGGCGCGCGTACGACGCCGACGAGGCGGGAGACGTGACGTCGCCGATTCAGCCGCGCTGCGCTGAGAGCGGCACAGCTGAGGCGGCCTTGGACGGGGCCGCGCGACGGGCAGCCCTCCTCGAGGAGCGGATCCGCAAGGCCCAAAGCGAAAAAAGCGTCGCCGAGGACGAGGTCGTCGGCAACGCTCGGCGCGTGTCTGCAGCTGCTTCTCGCGGCGGGACCCCCCGTGCCGAAGGGGGGACGAGACGGACGAGTTCGACGGCGGGAGGACGCTGGCACCTGAGCCCGAATTCGGCTTGCAGCCGAAGCCCGCGGGCGAGGCGCGCTACTGCCTCTGACAAGGCGGCGACTACATCGAGTACGACCTGTGCGACGGCGCCTGTGCATTCGTCGACAAGGTCCCCGTCTACGAGTGTTGCGCCGAGATGGGCGACAAGAACAACGGGTACGGTTTAGATGACTCGCTCGGCAGCTGGGCCTCCGTGCGGGTCGACGAGCTCGAGCAACGCAAAGTGTCACAGCCCAGGTCGGCGGCGGCGGCCAGCCTGCGCCAGGACGCATTAGCGATCCTCGGCAAGGGCGGCAAGTCGTTCGGCACGCACGGGATGTAGGCGCATGCTTGATTCTGCTCGGGGTCCTGGTTGCCTGGCGCGGCTGGAAAAGCGGTGCGGCGGGTTCGGCAGGGGCCCTCGGGGGCCCTCGCCGCGCCGCCCCTCGGGTCCCCCGCTTTGGGGTCTGGGGGTGCGTGGCCGCCTGGTCTGCGGTCAGGTGCGGAGCTGGCGGGCTGCCGACACTGACCCCCTGCTGGCCTCTGACAGCAGGAGTGAGAGCTGGGCAATATGTCTGTGTGGTGGCTGGCGGGCCGTTGTGGCCGCCAGCGTCTTGGGCATTTTGGGCCCGTCTCTCGTCGCCCCTTGAATGAATGTGGACCCAGCACGGTCGGCGAGCCCTGCTCCCGACCCCAGTCGTCGAGCTGATCATCATCAGCATCATTATTTCCTCCTCCTCCTCCTCCTCCTCCTTATCCTCCACCTCATGATCGTTATCCTCATCATAGCCATCATCATCGCCATCAGCATCGTCATCATCATCATCATCACCGTCATCCTGTCACCACCAGGTCATAGCATCATCTTCATCATCGTAACCATCGCCATTGTCATCGCCACTACCATCATTACAATCACCAGCATCACCATCATCATCGTTACCCTCATTACTCTTCTCATTCAACTTGTTGTTGTTCCTCCGTTCCCTCCCGCCCTCATTCTCCATCATTGTTGAATCGTTCTTCTCATCTTTGTTTCATTTCTTTGCGCTATCCTTCCTCAGCATGCATTGTTCCTCGTCCCTTCCCGTCTTCATCCCCCTCCTCCACCTCCCAGTCCTCTCCTTCTGCTCCCTAATCCCCGTCATCCTCCTCCCGCCTCATCCATTGTCTTCTTACCCCTCCTCTATCCTCCTCCTCTTCAACACCATCATCATCATCATCATCACCATCATCATCAGCATCATCATGCTCATTGCACCTCTCCTTCTTGCTTCTACATCGTATCCTCTTCCTCCTTATCTCAGGCGGCTGCCGCGTTGAGGTACGCTGGGATTCACGATTGCGTGCTGCGGGACGACGCCGACCGGTCCCTCTCAGAGGCTGAGTTCATGGAGCTTGGACACGAGGCGGCAATGATGCGGCTGGACGCGTCCCAAGAGGCCAGTTCCAGAATGGGCCCTCCGCGGTCTGGGAATCGGGGGATCTGCCTTGGGTGTCCTCAGCGGAATCCAGGCGGAAGCAGATTGAGGATGGCGCGAAGCATGCCTGACAAGCCATCCTGGGCCCCAGGATGATGTAGAATGAGATCCTCCTGGCCACGGCCTTGAAGGCGTATACGCGATGCTGGGGCGCAGGATGATCCTAGCCAGGCACGGCAGTGTTGGTTGGTGGATGGCGGCTGATGTCATCACAACGCCCCGAGACCTGTCCAGAGGTACGTACTGACCAGGACATCAGGGCGTATCTGGCCGTGGCGACGCAGAGGCTTTCAGGAGGCCAGAAAAGTCCCGACGGCCTAACACAAACCGCGATCCAGGAATCTCCTCCACCTCCTCCATCCCTTTGTTTCTCCTGCACCTCCTCCACCTCCTCGACCTCGAATCTGGTACCCGGGACACCTCCCAAGGCCCATCTTGGCAAATATCCCCAGATCGATTTCTCACGGTCCCGGGGCCCGGAACAGTACCCCGAAGGTCGAAATGTGACCCAAAAGGCCGAGCCCCATGAAATTTGTGCCCCTTGAATTAAACAACAATTTCTGTGTTTTGGGAGTTTCCAGCGCCTTGTGTAGAGGCGACGCTCCAGAATCTCTTCACGCAGCTAGCGTCGTCCAACGGTGAATTCACGGCCATTCCGCTTCGCAAGTTGATTGAGCTATTTGAGGCGAGAACTGGCCAGAGCGAATCACTGGAAGTCGTAGTCGGCGTCGCCAGCGTCTGGATGCCTGACGGGCGCAGTGAAATCAATGCCGAGTCCTTCGTCCACATCATGTCTCGGATTACGATGCTGCACATGAGGTATTGGCGCATCTTGACCAGTTTTGAGGAAGTGGTGAAGGCGGGTGCTCCTGCCGGCAGCGAAGATGCAGACACGATCACCGCTCACATGCTAGTCGCTACGAACAGAACTAGCGTCGAAGGACGTGATCCTGGCAGTGATCCTGGCAGTCTTTCTCACCATGTCGGGAACCGGGTTTCTTGGAATCGGCAGGTTTCGCCCATTGGCGAAGAGAAGGCCGCGGAGATGATTGAGGCGGCAAGTTTTCTGCGCGAGGTTGGTTCCGACCAGTCAGTCGACGTGTTCGATGTCGCGTCTCTCCTTTCTATTTTTTTGGCCCCACACCCTAGACCGCTGCCTCCGAAGCCGAAGACCGTGGATTCATCGGCGGCTTGGAAGAAGCCGCCACTCCAGAACAGCATGAGCCGCTGCAAGTCCGAGATGGCGATGGGCATGTCCAGGGATTGGACCGAGCTGCATCTCGATTCGAGCATTGTCGGCGGGGGTTATGGGGAGGTCAACCTCGCATCAGTGGCCTCATCGCGCAGTTCTTTGAGTTACTCCAGCACGGACCATGATCTCATGACCCGCGTGCCCGAGGAGTTGGATGCCGTATCTTGCGCGGGCTATCTGCACGCCTTCCTCGAGAATCCAGAATCGAGCAGGTGTGCCATTGGGGCGGTTGTTCACCCAGCCAGGATTGATTATCTTTCTGCCTCTCCCCTCATCAGTTTATTTTCCGGCGTGGGGAGTTGGATTGATTACCAGCGTTGCGTTTGCTTTGATGACAATCAACGTGATCTGTCCAAATCCGGTTTGTTCATCTTGCTGAATCCAGCCGCCATTGGGGCTTCAGTTGATTCACCCTGACCCTCGCCCGCGGAGGCCTCCCAGGATCCCAGGAGTTGCCTTCTTACACGTCCTTGAAAATACAGAGATCTGGATGTGCGAAACAAACAAAAACCATCAGGTGTGCCGCGGTATTCTCGCTCGTGATGGCTCTGCTCATCATGGTCTCGGTCCTGACGCTCGTGATGGAGCCCCTGATATCTCCAGGCCCAGACATCTCCCAGTCGGAGCAGGACGTCTGGTTTGCCGTGGACGGCTTCTTCAGCGTCGCCTTCACCGTCGAGTTCGTCCTCAGGTTTGCGGTGACCAACGCGTCGGGACGGCAGACCCACGCGGACTTCCTGAAGGCTCCGCTCAACCTGGCCGACCTCGTGGCGGTCCTGCCGTGGTACGTCGAAGTGGCGACGAGGCCCCCTCAGCGCCTCTTCCTCACTCCTCCTCGGCCACCTCCAGATGTTTCAGAGGTACCCAGGGGAAGCCGCGGGTCCCCTCGGGGGCCTCAGTCGGGCCGGGCGAAAGGGGGGGATTGGGAAAGGGGGGGTTACGAAATTTGCTGCATGCAGCTGGTTTCGGCCTCACCGAGGGGCCCATTCCTCGATACATGGCCGCCTCCGGCGCCGGGAGGCGCCGGGAAAATCAGCTACGTGAGCTGATTCTCAAACCCCCCCTGTGCTATCCCCCCCTTTCGCCCGACCCGACTCAGGTGGCATCCGTAGGCCGGGGCCCCCAAGGGCTCGAAGCGTCGAGCGCCATCCTCTCCTCCTTCGCGTCCCTTCGACCGGCCCACCCTCCGAGCCTGTCGTGCGGCGGGTTCCGTCGCTCGGCGAGACTTCTCGCGCGGAAGCTGCGGAAGGCAGAGGTCGAGGGTCCCCCCTCCATTGGTTCTCCCCCCCCCCCATCCACTCTCCTTGGACGTTGCACTCGTGTTCGTCACTTGGGCATGCTTGGAACCTCGACCCCTTCTCCAGGGGCAGCTTCTGGGTCGTTCTTTGGCGGTCTTGGGGCCGGGAGACGCTCGGAACGTGGAGAACAGCTATATACAATTGCCATTCGTTGTTGTCAGATCTGAGGGTCCTGCTCACGCGCGCGCTCAGTCGGCCACGAGGTAAGCAGCGAGTGCCATCAGGACCTTTCCAAAACGACGAACAGTTCGATCATGTTTGTGCCCCACGGGAATGACCTGGCCTCGGCTCTGCCGGCTTTTTGGTTCAGCAGTGCATGGACCTCTTCCGTGCGCTGGCCTATCCCAGCCTGGTGGATTGCCATTGCGAGTTGGCCGCTTCCGAGGCGGCGGTGACTGGCGAGTGCCGCCTGCTGGCCGATCTGGTGGGGCGTCCCACGCAGTCTTTCCGCCAGTGCGACTGCCACTGCGAGACGCAGGCAGCCGCCGATGGCTGGACAGCCGCCTGGCTGCTGATGTGCGTCGTGCCCCTCCACGTGGGCGCCTTCACCGCGGGCCTCTGCATCGGCCGCAACGTGACCCATGTGCCCGCGCCCTCCCGGGTGACGTCAGAAATCACCCCCACGGACAGCGAGGATGGCGACGCCTGCTTGGGTCCAACAGTTGCAGGTCGGCGATCGGGTCTTCGTTTGCTACTACCAGGACGCGGACGGGGCGGTGGTGGAGTGGCATGACAGGCTGCTCCTCGCCCGCATCGTCGGGGCGAGCTGGGTCGTGATCCCGCGGGATTGCGACAGCTCGAGGAGACTATTGCCGAAAACGACGGGCTCAAAAAGTTCGGCGCTGGCGGGGTCTTGCCCGCTGCCGTGCGGGGTTTGGCTGTGTACTGCATCGACCACTTCGCGTTCGGCAAGGACAGGCAATACAACATGGACACGGGGGTGGGGGTGGCCAAGGGCCTCCGCCCTGCTGGCGCTGGCGCGGACGCCGCGCCCGCGCCCGGAGGCAAGGGCGACCCACCCGCGACGCCCGCGGGCGAGTGGGTCGCCGTTGAGATGTGGGGTAGAGTGAAGGTCGGTGACTCCTTGCTGGAGCACATGGGTGAGCGGGTCCACGTCGTCAACGATCGGTGCCTGTTCGTCCTCACGGACGGCGCGGTATTCTCGGGCGGACTGGAGGATTCACTCGTCAAGGAAGGCGGCGGTGGAGGTGTCGGGCTCTCGTATCCTGCCCGTGATGCACGATGGAATGCGGCGCTTCCGTCGGCCGTTTTGGGACGCGTTGCGTGCCATGAAGGAGGTGGACTTCGGCGCGCTCGGTTTACTTCGTCGCGGAGCGCATCCGCCAGGGCAACCAGGGGCCAGTGCAGCGCCACTACTGGTGGCGCTCGGGGCTAGGGCTTGCCGCCTCGGACGTGGGAGTCGACGAGCACATGCTGTTGTCCCTGTTGTTGGAGGTCGCTCTCACGATTGACCGGGTGGGTGTGTGCAACTTGGCGGCGTTTGAGCTCACCCGCCGTCGCTAGCAGATGCGGGAGAGTGCCTAGAAGGATCTGCTCCGCGAGGTAGATACTGGGTCGGCTGGCGGCGGCGACTGGCTGAATGGGCGCCCCTTGCTATGGGGCGTCAAGAACCTTCGGGGCAGCGCGATCGCCATGCCCGAGCTGGCGGACTTCGTGGCCAAGGGTCTCTCCATGCACGCTGCCGCGCTGAAAGAGCGCCGCAAGGCGCGCGAGGAGGCCGCTCTGGCCAAGGGCATCGACGCGACCCAGTCGGCGAGGCAGACCGCCCAGGGGAAGAAGGGAGAGGAGGGGGGGGGGTAGGCCTGACGGTTTGCTTCCATCGATCTTGCGCCGCCGCGAGTGGGGGCCCCCCGCCTTCTCGAGGGCTTGCCGTTGGGGTTCAGGGCGCGGCAAATGGCGGCCGCCCTGAAGTGTTTTTAAGCAACGCGTGGCTCGCCAGCGCGACGTCCGCCCCACCTCCTGCCTGGGTGGCTCCTGTCTGCGTCGGCGACGACGTCTCCGACTGCGTAGAGCGCCGGAGGGCTGAGTGTTCGAGGGTATCCAAGCTCTGAATGAGCTCGGCGCGACGGCTTGCTCTCCACCTCCGAATTCTTCGCTGACTTCGGCTCAGGCCCCGCCATTCGCCACCTCGCTCCGCAGCGTGGGCGCGTGGACGCTGCGCCGCCCGATTGCGGGGGCTCCCTGGGGGCGTGACAGGCGCTCCAGGGCGCGCGGCCCAGCGGCGCAGACGGCGCGTCAGCCGCCAGTGTTCGCGTGAACTTCGGGCGAGGGAACGCGTCGCTTCCCGCGGGGCGTGCCGGGCAGGCGTCGTTGAGTGAGCGCCCGCCGCTAGCATTGCAGTCCGCGCTCGAGGATCGCCCAATCCTTTTATCCGCTGAGGGGGTTGCCACGCGCAAGCGAGAGTTTGGTGGCAGCCCCTTCGCGAACCCCGTCTTGGGGGACAAGCGAAGACTTTTTGGAGAGTTCGTTTCGGAGCTCTGGTGCGCTGGCGTTGTGGGGGCCAGTGAGCGCGCGCTCAGACAGCGGCATGTTTTTCGCGCGAAAGAGATCAGGCGCCCTTCGTTTGATTTTGGACGCGCGCGTTCCCAACTCGCCGTTTAAAGGCCCGCCGGGAGTAGTCTTGTCCTCTGGAGAGGCCCTCGCCCATCTGGAGCGCCCATCCCGCGTCGTTCCTGTTTTGCACTGGGGAGACGCTGACGTTTGCCACTGCTAGTTTGAGCCCCCCGCCCAGTATAGGAGTTGTTTGTGGCTTGTCTACGGCCCCCACGGCCTTCCTGTCCTCGGACCCCGTCGCCGCCGCGCCGGAGGCGGCTCGGAATCGCGGGCGGGCCCGCTTCCGAGCCCGGGCGGCGCCGACGGGGCGGGCCCGGGCTGCTGCGTTCGCACAGGCGACCACTTCGCGCCAATCAAGAGACGCGAGCCCCGAGGCCCCTTGGATTTGAGACTCAGCTCTTTCCCCGCCCCTGCCGCGCGCGCGCGCGAGCGCGGGCCCCGTCGTCTCCGAGGGGGCCGTCGCGGGGGGCGAAGGAGAAGTTGGGGGCGAAGGGGGTCACGTCGTCGTTGGAGACGGAGAGCCCAGGAGACCATGACTTCATTGGCTTCGCTGTGTTGGGGGATTGCGGGGAGTGGCGACCCGAGGCTAGTTGTCTCTGGAAGGTGAAGCTCGCGGCTGTATAGCTCTCGGGGGGCGGGCGGGGCGTCGCGGGTCCGGATTCGCAGAGGTTCGTCGGTCACGTCGCTGCTCTCCTGTTCTATGGCCCCTGAGGTCTTGCGTGCGACGGAGAAGTTCTATGTGTTAATGCAGGATAGCCGCGTGCGCTGTCAGCCCCCCTGGCCTTCTGTGCGTCGCGACTTCCGCTGGATCCGAGCGCCCCCCCCTCCCGCGCGATCGTGTATACGACGCCCCTGGCGGGGCTGTATCTTCGGGCGCGACGCGCCCGCTTGGGGTTTTGGGGTTTGCAGCGCGCGTTGCCCTCCAGGCGATGTTGCTGTCGGTCGGGTTCGAGAGTGATCATGATGTCGCGGGCCCCCGAGCGTTGCGGGGGGCCCTCGGTCTCGGGTTCTGGACCATGAGGACGAGGCGTGCGTCTCGGAGGCTTCGGAGGATGTGATCTTGGAGCTTGGGCGTCTGCGGGGGTTCGAGGAGGCGCCGCCCGCCTCGTTCTTTAACGGTGACTGGGAGGGCGCCCGTGCCGGGCGCTGGAGGGGCGCCCCAGGGTCTCAGGCCCAGCTGGGGGCTCGCGCGCGGACGTGGGCGGCCCGACATCTCGCGCGAGATTGTAGTCTTCACGCCTCTCGAGTTTTGATGTTGGGCAACGACGTGTCTGTGATCTGCGCGCGCGCCAAGTGCCGCTCGAACCCTGCGATGAACTTCCAGCGTCGCATCTCGGCCGCCTTCGCCCTAGCCGCCGGGCTCGAGCTCGCGGGCCGCCGGGCGCCCTCGGAGCGGAACGCTCTCGGCGGGGGCCCGCTGGAGCGGCCCGCGCGACACCGCCCCCGCCCGGCGGCGCAGTTGCTGCCCCCGCCGCGGCCCCGTCGGCGAGGCGCCCGCTGCCTGGCTCGCGGCGCGAGCGCTGGGCCGAGCGGCCGCGGGGGCTCCCGGCGCGCCCGGGCTGGCGGCGCGCGGCAGGGCCCCCGCGGGTGCCCCCCTGGCACGGGCGCCCCTCGGGCCTCCTGCCGCCGGGCGAGGGTCTTGGCCGAGGTGCGGCAGCGGCAGCTGGGCCTCGCCCCCGAGCTCGCCCCCTTGCAGCAGGGGCGGGTGGGGCCCAACGCGCAGCGGGGCTACTGCGACGTGCTAGAGCGCTTGGCGCCCATCCTCGAGTCGGCGGCTGCTGGCCGCGCCGGCGCGGGCCCAGCCGCGCTTGGGCGGGGCGCTGAGAGTGATCTACCCATGGGCGCGCGCCGCCGTGCTGGGGCGGATGCAGCTGCAGCCGTCGCGCAGCCGCCCTCCTCTTCCTTGGAGAGTTGTCCTGGCGCTGGCGCGGGC